ACAGGCCGCCTATTATAGTAGGCCGGAAGTAAATAGGTTTATACCTCCCTACCTTATAACCTGCTATTTACAGCAATTTATACAGCACTAAAGTAAAAAAAAGGCTAGAAGGAAAGGAAATAAACTAGAAAAGTAGTTGTCTAATAGTTTCTAATAACTATATTTAGCAGTAGCCTTCTAGAAAAAAGATAGAGGTTATAACTTTCTATAAAAGTAAAAAGAAAAGGGTTAAAAAAAGGCAGGTTATATATATACTTAGCTTAGAAAGCTGGGCAGACTGTTTATTAGGGTCTATCTATATATTATTTGCGCAATACTACTAAAGCTAGCTAAGGAGATAAATAGATCTAAGCCTCTAGAAAGTATACACCTATATATAGCTTTATAAAGAAATAGCTGCTAAGTACACCTAAATTAGCTAGTAGTAGAGAATACTTACTTATATAAAGCTATAGAAAACGCGTAAAAAGCTGTAGATAATACACGCCCGTAAGGGGCTGCAGAAGATTTACAGATATCTGCGCGATTATTAGGAATAGCTATATAGGCCCTTAAGGCCTTATTATCTATATCTATTACGCCCTAATAGTTAGGCTTATTATAGTACTAATTTTTTAGATACTATATTCCTTTCTTTTTAGGGTACTTCTATATATTAAAAAAAAAGGATTTTTAGCTAAAGACCTTCTTTTTAGTTTCTTAAATAATAGGCTAGTATTGCTTTACTTCTTTAATAATTTTAGAGCGGTATTTAGCTATCTATAGATTAATATCTTATAAACTACTATTAAGTAGAAGGTCTTAATTAGCAAGAACAGCAGGTAAATCCTATTTCTATAGGCTAATTAAGGCAGCGCAGATTAGATAAGAAGGGTTAATTTTAGCAGCTATAGGAAAGTAATATAGGGCTGTCCTATATATAAAGCTATAGCTAAAAAGTATCTTTTCTATTACAGTAAAATTATATACTGCCTATAAAACTTCCAGCTATATAGTTCCCTTAGTAATTTCCAGGTAGATATAGTTCTTTTAAATGCTAATAAACTAGGGAAAAAGTATATAGCAGATATATTTACAGGGGCTAAGGGCGCTATAAAGTAGATAAGGGAGCAATATATAAATACCTCCTGTATTAACAGGCTGCAGCTAGAAATTTCTATACCTTGCAATATCCTTAGCAGTCTATATCTGCTTAGTAATATTATATATATAGCCGTCCGTTAAAAAGCAGTTCTTATCCTTTATTTAAGTATACTAGTTGCGGATATTATTCTGTATACTAAATACTAGTTATATATAGTTATTTTCTCCTTTATTATCTAGGAAAATGCTTTCTTAAATTATATTGCTACTATAGTTGCGCTTAAGAAGCTCTTAAATATTTAGATTAATATAATAGAAGGCGGTGTTATTTCTAGAAATAGCAAATTTAGTATAGTAGGGAAAGAAGACAAAACACTACTAATAGTCCGGACGGAGGGCTATATATATCCGATAGTATTCCAGGTCTATATATATAACTTGCTAGTAGAGGCTGTATACTATAGTTTATAGCTATCTATAGTTTACGCGGCCGTTAATTTAATACTAGTGCTATAGATATATTTCTATTTCTTTTTAGAAGATTTCTATAATACTAGAATCTATCTACTATTAAAAGATATCCGGAATAATAATAGTGCTATTTTTCTGCTATATAGTAAGCTTAGGTTTCTAGATTAGCCTATTTAGCAGTATATTAATATTTAGCTAGAAGCCGGTACCTTAGATAATTGCGCTGTTATAGAAGAAATAGTATACTTTTAGCTTATTAAATAGTATAGGCGGGCGTGCCTTTTTTTAGAACTAGATATACTGTAGACTAATATAAAGAAAACTAAAGGTTTTATAGTTTTTATAGATATAGTATAGTTGGTTAAATAGTTAGATATAGGTAAGATTAGCCGTTTTTAGGCCTAGGTAGGATTCTATTAATCGGGTATAGTAATAGCAGACTAGTAAGTAAGTCTTATTAGCTCTAGTATTTTAATACTAGCTTATAAGTACCTTAAAGCGGTTAAAGTTACTTATTTTCTACTTAGACTTTAGTTTTTTTTTAGTATAAGCTAAATAGCAATATTATAGGTATAGTTATCTATAGTAGCCTTTAATATAACTAGGAATTTAGTAAAATTTTTAGCAACTTCCTTATTTTTATCCGGGGCTAGCTTATTATAATTAATATAGGCTAAGAATCCTTATATAGTTTTTATAGGAAGGGTTCTATAGAAAGTAGGGTATAGAAATAGTAAGGTAGACAGGTCTAGTATAAAAAAGGGCATGCTAATATCTATAGAAGAGAACAGCCTAGATAATACCGGAGAGGTTATTAGGATATTTTAAGGGGATTATAATAGTATTAAAGGGGCGGAGGGTAGCCTACTGTAGAGTAGAATACTTAAACTTATACTACTAGCAGAAGAGGATTTCCTAGAAAGAACTATTATTAGTTAGTTTTAATTAAGCGGGAGAAAGTTTATAGGTAGTAGAAAACTACTAAAGTAAAATTCTAGGCTATACTTCTAAACTAGCGCAGTGCTAGGGACCTTAGTTTTTATATCTGCGCCTATAGCTATAGTAAAGTTAATAGTTATTAGGGTAGAAGTCTTATAGCTAGATAATAGAGTTGCAAGCCTACTAAGGAAAGTATAATTTATGCAAATAAAATTATTTAGGAATTAGTTAAAGTACTTAACTATAATAGGGGTGCTATAGGTAGTGCCTAGATTTTTAAAAAGGCTATTTAGTCTAGTAAGGTTTTCTTTAAAAACTGCTTTAATATAAGTCCGGGTACTGATAGCATACTTATAGGTGCCTGCTATTATTTCCGCAATATTAATAACAGGCTGGAAGATATTATAGAACTATTCCGGAGTAAGAATATTATAAACTTTAATATCTGCTTTTATAGTATCTATAATAGACTATACTATATTACTAAAAAAGTTTTATACTATTATAATATTGTTAACTAGCTAATAGTAGGCCTAGATATAGTAGTTAGGGGTATAGGGTATAATTTTAGTAAGTACTAATATAATAGTGCCTTACTTCCTATTAAAGGTAATAAAATACTAGCTACTAGTACTAGCTAAACTTAATCCTTTAGAAACCTATATAGTAGCTAAAAAAAGGCAGCTTAACTTCTTCTACAGGTAGTTAGTAATAAAAAGAAGCTAAAAAGTAGGAAAAAGGGTAATAGACTAGAGAAAGAGGAAGAAAAAGCTTAAGGTCTAGCGTAGTTAAGCGGTAAGCAGAGTATACACCGGGCCTAAGCTTAGTTCTATAGCGGCTGTATAGTAGATAGCAGGTAAGGCTAAAAAAAACTATAGTAAAACTGTTTTTATAGGTAGCTAATAGTAGACTAAAGCTAAAGAGCTAGAATAGAAAAAAGTAAGGTATAGAAAATAGAAAAAAGGGGTTTAGCTGTATTTTATAGGCAGAAAAGCAGCAGGTAAAGTATATACTAAGCTAGCTACTATACGTTTTACGCAGGCAAGTAAGGCCTTAAGTAAAGGTTTAGCAGTACTATAGCGTAGTTGTTCCTATAGGTAATTAATAGTAGAAAAAGAAAGCTAAAGGCTAATATAGGAAGTAGTAAAGTAGAAGTAGTATATAGTTAAAAATACCCGCGGTTAGTAATTTAGAAATACGCCAGCAGCTATATTAGGTGTATAGTCTATTCTAACTAATTCGGAGTTTTCTAGTTATAGCAGAAAATAACTAGAAAACTTGCTATTAGTTAGGCCGCTTACTGCCCTTACTTTGCGCTATATAACTATCCGGAAAGTTAAGTATATAATACTAAACTAAGAAACCTTTATAAGTCTAGAAATCGGTTTTTATAACTTACTAATAATATACTAGGTATAAGTGCGCAGCCTTCCTTTCTACCTATAAGATTATCCCCTAATTAAACGCCCGGTATTAGAATAGTAAGCTATAGGCGCGCATATATACTAAAAAGAGAAATTAATAAGGTTTTTATTATTAAATTGTTTAAAATTATTACAGTTAAACTAAAAAGGGGGAATAATATAGACTTTAATACGCTAGCGCCTAAGTAGTGCAGTAATAGGTGTTCTATTATTAATAAAGCGCTAGTACTCTTTCTAGTTAAGTAGGGGCAGTATTATAATATATACTTCTAGCTATAGGTATACTAGATGTTCTAGTTCTATATCTAGCCTATCTACTATTATTTCTAGTAGTAAAGGCTCTATTTCTAGAGCGCTTTATAGCAGCGCAGTATTATTAGCTAGTAGGTCCCTCTATATTTCTAGCCGAGCGGTATTATCTTGCGCGCTATTATCCTGCGCGCTATTTATACTTTTTAGCTAATTTTCTAGTAGTAGGTTAACTAGATCCTATTAAATAAAGAGCTTAAGGCGGCTACTTAGTATATATTAACGGAACGCAGCACTATTAAGCTCCTTTAGCTGGTATAATTCTGCCGCTGTCCTATTTTAAATCTAGAATAGACCTAGCTAGTAAGGCCTTAGTTTCCTTACGCGGCTTATATCTTTTTCCTACTTACTATTCTAGAAAAGTACTAGGTTGCCAACTTTATAGCCTGTCTCCCTAATTTACTTATAGCTGTTAAATTCCTTCTTATTATTTAGCCGGTAATAAATTATCTACGCTACCGCCTCTTTAATATCCTTCTTTTATTACTGCAGCTAGCGGGCGTATAGCTCTAGAAGTTTAGCTATTATATAAATAGATTTCTGTAGCAGCGCCTGCTATATTAAAATAGTAAGGTTAATTAGAAGAATATACTCCTGCCTAAATATTATTTTTATAGGTATTATACTAGTGCTAATATAAACTATAGATTAGTTAGCCTATAGAACTATAAATAGGTTCCTTATCTAGTCCCTAGGCAACTTTATAAAAGTATTTAGAATAGGCTAATAGCTTTACTTAATAAGTTCCTAAGCTTCTAAATAGTAGGTAGAGGCCTAAACGCGCTTTATACTATATAGTATAAGTATATTAAGCACCTTTTCTATATTCTCCCCTTTGCTATTAATACTTAGGCGCTCTATAAGCCTATAGCAGCTAATAATATCTTTATATAGGAACTTTACAACAGATTTTAAATTAGCCTTCCGCAATACCTATACTTCCACCTATCCGGAAATATATTTACGGGCAATAATAATAAACTAGTATTCTCTAGATATAGGGAGCTTTATAATATTAATTAATACTTATTCCTATAGCACGCTTTCCTATATTAGGTGCAGAGCTTCCTATATATAGTTAGATGCTTATAGCTAGCACTTTATATAGCTAGTAATATAGCTATATATATTTTTTTATAGGTTTAGCTACTAGTACCTTTAGGAAATCTACTAGTAGGTTCCCTTCCGGCTGTAATAAGACCTATTATTATAGAGGCTCCGGATAGTCTTATAGTAAAGGTCGGGATTATTAATAACCTGTTATATTGAAATATTTTTTAATTAATACTAAAAAAGGTAGCGCTTATAGATTATAAAGCGGCAGGTATTCTTTTTAAATACGCGGTATTTCTTACGGTCTATACCCTCCGGCTAATATATAGTTATTAGCTATATTATAATATACTAGAATTTTTTAGAGTAGCCGTCTCCTAGTAGTATATTAAATTCTTTTGCTATTATATCTACCCTTTCTGCCCCTGCTACAGGCGCAGCACTATAGCTTACTACTCTAATTTCGTTATTAATAAAGGCGTTAATATCCTTATATAGCTTAGTAAGGATCTTATTATTATCTAGAAGCTGTTATAATAGCCTATCTATAGCTCTATTCCTTTTCCCTAGTATATAGCGGACTTTAAAATCCTATAACTATATCTATACTAGCTACTTTATTATTAGTGCACCCGGTAAATCTATTATAGCTCTATTTAACTGCGCTACTAGTGTTTATATATTAGTTTCTATAGTAAAGGCTATTCTATATAGGTATTAGCAGAGTTTTTTTAGTAATAGGAGAAAAGTATAATATTCTAGTTTACTAGTATTATACTTCCTTTTAGCTATTAACTATATACCGCTCTTAAAGCGGATAGAATACTATTGCTTTTCTATATTAAGTTGTATTAGAATATATCTTTAGCCTGTACTACTAGCGTCTATAGTAAGTATAATTGCGCCTGCAGTATTACTAAAATTAAGGCTAATAAAAGCTGGCGCAGATATTAGCAAGCTCTTTAGTTTTACTATTACGGCCTTTTACTTATTACTCTAAGTAAATAGCATTACCACCTTTATTAACCTAAATAGTAGCTCTATAATACTAGTATATCCTTTAATCTAGATCCGGAAATAGGTGCAGATTCTAAAAAACGCGCGTATGGCGGTAACGCTATTATATAGTTTCTAACCTATAATCTTCTCCACCTTATCTTTATTAGGATGCCGCCCGGCGCTATTATATTTATAGCCTATAATTACAACTTTACTAATACTAAAAAAGAACTTTATACTACTAATTATGCAGCCGGCCTGCTTAAGATCTGCTAGAATAGTATTAAGGTTCCGAATATACTCTATTATATAACACCAGATCTTTAGTATTAATTCTTTATTTCTATATATAGTTTTTAGTCCCTTTACGCTAATATTATTAAGGAAGGGCAGAGTAATAGTTAGTATATAGTTAAGAAGGAATTTAAAAATAATCTAAATAAACTAGGCAACTAAATTTATTCCTTTCTATAGTAATATAGTCTGCTATATAAGGCCTAGGGTTATTATAAATACTGTAATATTATAGGATTCCGGTGTAAGGGGAATTTAATTATAGCTAGAGAAAAAGTTAATTAGTAAAAGGATCTTGCACCCAGCAAACTTTTCTAAGTACTTATTAGCTATTAGCAGAAGGTTAGCGTTGTATATAGTAACTGTATTAATCTTTATTACTGCGTTAATAAAATAATACCTTCTATTTTTCTTTTTAACTAAGAACTATAGATTCTAGTATAGGCTTTAGTATAGCTTAAGTATTCTCTTTACTAGCTGTTTTTTTACTATTTCTATTACTATTTTTTAGAGCTTCTAGGGTACTGGAAATAGCTTTACCTGCTATACTATATAGGGCACAGTTCTAATACTCTATAGTAGCGCAATATCCGGGTAGATATATTCTATTTTAGTAAAGTTAAATAATAGTGCGCCTTTTTAATAATACAGCATTTTTTTTAGAAGTAGCAGTTCCTATAGCTAAAGCTTAGTACCTATAATAAGCTTCTCTATCTAATTCTTTATTAGCTAAGTTTCTTATAGAAAAGGCGTGTATTTAAGCTTAAAAATACTATTAAACCGGCTACTAAGTAGATTATATTTGCTGGCTTATTACTTAGTAAGCTAAGCTTACTAATAGGCCTTAGCCTTTTCCTTCTAATTTTATATACCGCCTAAACCTATACAGTTTAGCTTAGAAAAATTAATAGGCTATATTTTATCTGCTTTCTATTTATATATTATTGCGATATTAGTATTTAGGTTCCAATTCTTAGCTAGCCGGCGCTGCATCTCTATTCTTATACTAAAGAAATCTACCCCTTTTATTAGCTAATAGCTTAGGCTTCCGGCCCGGGCCGCGAATATATATATTACTATTATTCCCTACCTTACTCTATTTATATTTCTTTATTAAACCTTAGGCAGTAGTCCCCTTTATCTAAAGGCGTCTATTATATAGTATCTAGCTTTCTTAGTATTTTTTTAAGCTGCGTTGCGCTTTAGTACCGGGATATAGATACCTACTAAAGCAACACCGGCTATTACCTTAGTATAATATTTCCTATACTTTTAAACCTGGTACTCTCTATTTTTATAGATTTATCTAGCTATAGAAAACCTTTTCTACCGGCGTTTATTATATTTCTAAGCTAACTTAATACGCCTAGGGCTTTCTTAGAATAACCTTATAGTTTATATCTTTTATAACTATAAAGTTAGTAGGGGTAGTAACACCTTCTATAGTAATATTAGCTTATTATACTACTTTTAAAAAGCTTATTATTATCCTATTAGCTGTAGTTATTACTCCCTAGGCTATTTTATTTAGAAGGCTGTTAATTAGAAGCCTAACTTAGTAAGCAGCCTTTTTCTAGATAATATTTATCTTAGCCTTTAAGTTAATTAAGGCTATTAGGCGTTTTTAGCCTATTATAATCTAAGCCTATAGGTAAGGCCTTTAGTAGTAAGTAAATCTAGCTTTAGTCTTAATATAAAGGATTTTACTTACTATTATTCTAGCTATATTAGCTAATAGGAAGTACTATGCCTTTATAAACGCTACTTCGCTAATAGTATAAATACTAGGTGTAGGCCTCTGCTATTGCTGTTATAACCACACTGTTACAACCCGTAATACGAACCACCCGAGCGCAGAGGCACTCGCGGAAACAAGCAGACAGATCAGGCTGATCACGAAGGATCAGGTCACGGGACCAAGAGGGTCACGTGTAGGACGCATAGGGATCCTGGATTCCCCCACGGACTGCTGGTGGATGGGAACGATCTAAGAATAGGACATCACGAGAGAGGGGTCACGTGATGGCTCAAGGAGCTCGAGGCTACGAGCCGGAGGAGCGCTCGAGGAGCTCGATGCTGCGAGCCCAACGAGCACATAAATTTCTTAGGACGGAACTTCTGTATATAAGGACCCTCCTTTGATAGATAGGAACCTCGTGTTCAACTTAAGACTTCAATACTACCTATTGGAAGTAACAACCCCGTCTTGTACCTGAGATTGATCTTGCCTCACCTTTTGAAGACTATTGCACCCCGACGACGACTTGACCTATACCTTGCCTTAGTGCGTGGCACTTGGAAGGTATAGAAGAGACGACCCGTTACACACACGTTCGCTCGCGATCGAGCTATAACACGTGCCCGATGGTCACGTGATTAGGGCTCCGCGGAACGGATTAACGTTGCTCCGACCTTAGGTTTATAATAGCGTTAAACCTAGGAACCTTTTCCTTCCTTGTATTTATCTTTTGTTAATATTAATACAACTTATTTCGATTCCAACCTTAAGCCCTGACAATTGCTGCTGCACCTATATCTACTTATTTCTTTATTACTGCTTTTATTAGTATAGTTTAGCTAATTCCAGACCCAGCAGCTTAAAAAATAGCTTTATAGCCTTAGGTATATAAAGGGGGCCACTAATCGCACACCCTCTTTTCACTAATCGCATACCCCCTTCTCATTAATCGCATACCCCCTCCCCCCCTGTCGCTTCACCACGTTCTGATTGGCCCGGAGGGGTGCTCCGAGGCCTCCGATTCGCTCGCCTAAGTCGCTCACTAATTCCAAATGCTCTCTC